AAGACAAGATATTTATAATCACAAAAATAAGGAGAAAGAAAAAAGATGTTTGGCATATTATGTTGTTAATGTCCTGACAATGTATTAAACATTTTTGACATGCAATATTACAATGGGAAACAAATAATAGGAAAGAGAGCAAAAGTGCAATCAGTTTGTGAAAAGTGAGCAGATCCTGGGTTTTACTTTATAGACGCCATAGCTACAACAGAAATCACTGAATTTTGCAAAGAATTTAACAGTTATTCAAAACACAAAGCCTTCTTTTTTAAAATCAGTCTTGTGGAAACCAAAACTTAAGATGTCTGCACAAGTCTTTAGTCAAGGATCTTCAAATGAAAGGCTTCAACACCACGATTTACTGACTGTGTCGAGCAACGATCCATTTCAGGTTGACATTTTGCCCGAGATTCATTTTACATTTACAAAAAACTGATTTTCAGGTTGTGAACTGAATTTAGTTTGAGTTCAATAAATCTTTAAAAAGTGAATGCGGATTGGGCTTTCCATTGGGTCTTCCACATCACTGACACGAACGGCTCATGTCTCTGCATGCAGGGGGGTTTCATTATGGGCCGTGCCAGAGCGTGTGCCAGAGACCCTCTGGAGTCAGAGGTGGTCTTATGGACCTTCACATCAGAGTCGTCCAGCTGGGTCTGCAGAAGCCCTTCAAAGATAAACACATAAAAGTCAGTGTTGGACGGAGAGAGTGCAGAAGAACGCAGCCCAGGGGTGGGATGCCGAGTGGAAAGAAGGATTTGAAGGCTTGCAGAAAGCAGGAGATGTCAAAGAGTAGGTGTCATGGGAATTTGGGGGTAGACTGAACAGGATACGAAAGAGTCGTCCAGCTGGGTCTGCAGAAGCCCTTCAAAGATAAACACATAAAAGTCAGTGTTGGACGGAGAGAGTGCAGAAGAACGCAGTCCAGGGGTGGGATGCCGAGTGGAAAGAAAGATTTGAAGGCTTGCAGAAAGCAGGAGATGTCAAAGAGTAGGTATCATGGGAATTTGGGGGTAGACCGAACAGGATACGAAAGAAAGGAGGGGGGAAGTTAGATCCTGAATAAACAACAATGGTGTTTGATTTGGATGTGAGGTTCATCTTCTCTGTAGACGTGAGACGTTTGCTTGATAATGTTTGACCGCAGAGCCCACAATACTCTGGAAAAGAGGGAAAAGCCAAATGAAGGAAAAATACACAATGTCAGAATTAATTTTCATGTAATGAAGCAGAATGAACAACTAATCAAGTTTTAAAATAAATAGAGAGAAAAGAATGAGGTTTTGTGAACAACTCTGGTGAAATGAACTTGAATTTGTGTTCTGGATGCTGCATTGCAAAAAATAAAATAAAATAAAAAATAAATTATGTGTATTTTTGTATTGTCTTCCAGTAAAAATGCCTAAACATCCTTAAAACAAGATACATTTACTTGAGAAGCAAAATGTTGTAAGATATCAAGTCTTTATTTTTCTTACTCCATTGGCAAATTTCTTGTTTTCATCATAAACCTTGCAAATTTTTCTGGTTTTCATCATAAACCTTGCAAATTTTTCTTATAATTCTTAATACCTTATGCAATAAAGACTTGATATCTTACAACATTTTGCTTCTCAAGTAAATGTATCTTGTTTTAAGGATTTTTAGATGTTTTACTGAAACACAAGACATAAATACTGATTAAGAAAATGATTTTTGTGGGCTCCAGAGTTATTATCTAAAACTAAAACCATACACCATAAAAACCTTTTCATTACTTGAAGTAAAAATAAACATTAACTGAAAGAAAATATAAAAAACTCTCTCAGCAAGTCGCCATGGCAGAATTTCTCATTTCAATTTTGTTTAACTTGATGCACTAAAATACAGTAACTAAAATTAAAACTAAAACAAAAATTATAGATATAAAAAATAAATATGACACACACAACAAAATGACTAAAACTTGAACTAAAATAAATCTAAAATGTAAAACCTTATTAAAAAAATTAAATATTAAAACTTATTTAAAATCTATGTTATCTAAATGATACTGAAATACACTGCCCCAGAATAGGATGCTGGTGTGTCTGACTTCTTAACTAGCAAAACCTGTCTTGGTCAATGCTGGATGAAAAGCATTTCTATATTGGCCCACCAGCTTGACCAGTCCAGTACTAAACAGCATTAACCAGTCTGGACTAGCATTGAAGGGTCTGTTGGACTCATCAGATTCACATGGAACTTGCATTGCATTTTATAGTCTAGTTATTACTTGCCTTCCTGTTCTCACAGAAAAACATGAAAACATCATGTTTCATAGATCATACAAACTCCAATACACACGTAAATAGGGCTGTGCGATTTTGGGGAAAATATCAAATTGCGATTTTTTTGACAGATATTGCGATTGCGATTTGATTTGCGATTTTAAATTTGCAAAGACAAGCTTCAGCTCAATATTGCCAATAATGTGCAGCACAGTATGGGTATCATTACCCTGCTGAAAAAAACAATAGAAACCATCACAGAAATTCTTATAGTTTCCATTAAACCATTACAAAAACCAATACAATTCCCATTATAACCCTGAAATCCATTACATTTTTTATTGTGTTTTGGGAGGGGTTCTATTGTTTTTTTTTTTTGCAGGAAAGATTATAATGGTGAAGCATTCACAGACACAGGCTGTGTGTGCGCTCTTCTGAATTGGGAATAGCGAACATGCATCATAAATTTATTTCAAATTAATCTGTTGGGGAGATAAAATGTGTAAGATAACGTTCACGTACTAACAAAAACATCTAAGAATGTATCTTTTATTCTCCAGTACTGAAAACAGAACCGATACGGGAGCTTTTGATATGCGCTGTGACGCTCTTGGAAATTACCTTTTTTGTTCGTTGTCTGTCATTTCGAAGCTTAAGTTGCATACGTTTTTCTTTAGTTTTAATTTGCCTAACTATCGATCTGACCAGGTAGATGCCATAATCTCACTCTGTCTCTCTTTTTTTAAATTTCATTCCGTCTGTCTTTTTTTAAATGGTGGGTGTTTACGCAGTTGGCTAGAGCAGTGCTGATTGGGGAGAACGGAGGTGCGCTCACTTTATTGGTTAGTAAGACTGCATCTCAAGGCTGGCAGTCATGCATATGCTCTGGAACGGAGTAATATCGCGTCCATATCGCAGGCTTTGCGATTAGGAAATCGCAACGTCTCAAATCGCGATTTCGATTCGATTTCGATTAATCGCACAGCCCTACACGTAAACTGCTCTCACCTGTATATTTGTCTATAGGCTCCTCCTTGTGTGCACACATCTATGACACAGATTTGTAAAATTGTCTCTTCCAGAGGTGTAAAAATGTCATGAATAAACCAATTTGTTATTTAACTTTTGTATTTTACATGTTTACTTTCATATACACTTTCAAGACAAAAAAACTTGCTGTTATGAATGATGCAAAATAAGACCAGGGGCATTTATTATGAAACAAATTAGGGTCAATTTTGATTTAATGTTATCTTTGATCTACATTATCTGTCATGCTTATGATGAATGCTAGGCGACTCCTGACAGATCCCTGAGAATTATTTTTTCATGGCAACCCTTTGCAGTACAAACCAAGGTGGATGGCAGGAGAGAGTTGTACTTCTCAGGACTTTGCATTGGCCAGAGCGTTTCGGGACGAGTGTTTGCATACATTCAGACACACCCCTGACACGCTCCCCTATTGTGTTACAATGTGAGAGATGGTTCAGGGCCGGGCAGCTGCTGGAAGACAGTGGCGAGTGTGTGTGTGATTGATGGCCGTGTGTGTGAGTGTCTCATGAAACAGGATCCCGCAGAACAGAGAAGAGATGGGGAAAAGAGAGAGGGGGTTCAGTCAAAGGGCACAAGCTTGGCATTACTGCAAACACACTCATATTTGTCTCTATCTCTGCCCTTTCTCTTTTACCCTATCTATCTATCTATCTATCTATCTATCTATTAAAAATGATAGTACACTCTAAAAAATGCTGGGTTGTTTCAACCCAACTTTGGGTCAAATATGGACTAACCCAACTTTTGGGTTAAAAATTTAATGTAAAAATTTAACCCAACGGCTGGGTTAGTCCATATTTGACCCAAAGTTGGGTTGAAACAACCCAGCATTTTTTAGAGTGTAAGTTCTTTCTATATACAGCAAAAAACTATATTTGATCTAATGGGACATTTCGTAATTTTACAGCAAAATGCTGTTAAATGCAAGTGAAAGAAGTGAAAAAGAAAAAGTCATAATTTAAAAATTGACATTATCAGAAATTGTCTATGCGACAGCTCACATTTGATGGGTTTTCACTGAAATAACTGTTTCTTTTTTAGTTTTGTCTTTTTAGTTATGTACATTAGGGTTTATGTCGCATATTATGCTGTTAAATTAATGTTTATTGCATTATGCTGTTACCATGATGAATTATTGTTTTTGTGTATGACACTATGCACCTTCTATATATTAATATATACTTCAGATTGAATATATGCTTCAGAAAAGCTACTTGTGATCCATCATGTGGCTTTCTTTTTCAGTATATTAAAGTTGCCAGTACATTAAAAACCCATTTTAAGAATTTGGTATATTAACATTATTTCAGTTAATATAATATATGTTTTTCAACTGTGAATTTAAGTTTAATTTGTAAAACAGAATATTGCTGTCATATTTTTTAATGGTAAAGTTCTGGTGATCACAGGTGCTGTTTTTATTTTTATTTTTTTATTTTTTATAGATTTGACAGTGATAAATTTAAAATAAATTAATATACAGATTTTGTTCTATGAAGAGAATTTAATTGTCCAAAGTAATTTTGTCCCCCTTGTCTCTCTCTATTCTCATGGCACTGGCTGTGGCTTCACTGGGTCAATCCACCTGCTTCTCCATCAGGTATTTCAGTCTTTTTTTATTTCGTGTCTGTCATTCTCTTTCTCTGTCAGCAGCTGTCCATCACTGGGAATTAATACAATTTATGGGCTGTCATGCAGTCACGAGTCTTACAATGGGCCCCTCCGCTGTTGTTCTTCAACAGTGAGCAAGGTTACCTGACCTTTTCTGAATACTATGTTTATGCTTCAGTATGCACAAAGAACTAAAAATATACTTTAAACAACATGAAATCAACTTGATGATATTTATAGTTAGCAGTGGGTATTTACATTAATTGTAAATGAAGGTAGATGCTACTTACAGTGAGTGTAAATAGTGGTAGATTTTGTTTGCTCCAAGTGTAAATAGCAACAAATAGTATCTTGTTTACAGTACATACAAATACTGATGCTATTCAGACAAAGTATAAATAGAAATGTATATTATTTGTACTAAAGGTAAATCATCTGAACAGTGGTGGGTGGAGTTTCTATTTTCACATTAGTTAATATTGCGAGAGTTGTTTTATGTTGTTATTAACATTTATTCAAATCACTTGTTGAGAAAAGGACTGCTATTACTTTCCTAAGCAATCAGACTTACATTTTATGCCTGGCAGACGCTAAATCTATCTCTTAAATTTACAATAATAAAAGGGCCCTGACTATATCTGAGTTTTTTGGGCTCCTTTTCTTTAGAAATGTAAAAATTTAGTTTTAATTTTGTAAATGTGAAAAATGAATTGAAAAATAACAGTTGTTGCTTGAGATTTAGCATGCCAACTCTCTCTCTGACTCATTTTCGGTATGTATTCGGGTAACGTTTTTTTGTGCCTAGTAATGGTTTGTTTACACTATAAAATTCCGATAACAATTAAAAAGGTCCTGTCAGACATTCACCAGGAACTAAGCATGTTTGGAATTAATTTGATCGAGAAAATAGAGTCTTAGTCTGGTCTTTGTGGTATTTCTCCTTCATATGGAAGTGATTTGTGTATTGCAGTGAGTCTGGATACAATCATTAATTTTTTTTCGTCTGACTGGCTCTTCATTGAGAGTTGCTGTGATGTTATTCACCTTGTCTAAAAATACCCTCCTCCTCATGCTTTGAGGAAATGAATTACTTGTTAAGAAGGGAGCTGCTTTGTGTTGTCTGTTCGTGACAAATTACTAAATATGTAGTGCTTATTGCACCGTTGCTAACGTGTCTTTCTGATGGAGTACATGGTCTACAGCATGTGGTGAAATTAGAGTGTTTCTGTTGAAAACATAATGATGACTAATGGAATAGTGTCGAAAATGAAGTATGCATAAGTATGCATTGAGGACAGTGTGTGTTCATTTTGTTACTTGATCCCTAAGACACACAAAACAATGTTTTCTGAAGAAATTGTTAGTGCTTGAATGTGCAAAACTTGCCACACTGATGCCAGGATGTTGCAGTGCAGTTGCTAAAGTGTTCTGAGTGGCTTTAAGTGTCTAAATGGGGCTTCATCATCATAATGGTCATCACGTTGAACAGGTAAACTAAACTACTCACTAGTCACTTTTTCAGTCTCAATGTGTTTATAATCGCAATCAAACTATTATAACTCAGATTTTCAGGTCAAATTTTTTTTAAATAATGAAAAGTTTGAAAAAGTTGTTGGAAGCTTAGTGACATTAAAGTAATGCCATCGTGTTGTAGTTTGTTTATAGCCTATACATTTAGCTTTTTACTTCTGCTGATTGTGTTTGTTAGGGTGGGCAATATGACCAAAATCTTATATCATGATATGAGTAATTTTATTTCACTGTAACAATATATATCACAATATAGTTATTTTTGATTTAGGTCTCGATATAGGTCTTTATGATATTAACATTTTTGATACCATAGAAAGTAAACAGTAAGCGATTAAACAATAAGAAACTAATAACAAGCAATAGGACAAATCGAACAAATAAATATGAAATGCTACATACATTGTTTAAAGTAATCAAATACTTTAAGCAATAATCCTTAAAATATGAGGGAAACTTGTAAGTCTGATTGCATTGTCCGTAGTACAAATGTTGTGGGAAAAGTTACTGCCAAAGTAAAAAAAAAGAAAAGAAAAAGAAATGAATGAGCAATTGCTTTAGCAAACAGTAATAAACCTCCCTTTCACTCACCCTTAAAAACACGTACATACAGAGAGACACATATTCACTCATGGTGTGATCTTGTCACAGACGATTTGCCTCCTCAAACTCCTCATTGAGACCCCTAACGTCAGTCGACGTAACGTCGAACGTGACAGACTGAAAGGGAACTGTTGTACCATTAAATGCCATGTCATTTGATGGCTTCTACTAGAAACTTATTTCTAAGTTTCATATAATTTGGTTTGCAAAGCATGATTGCTACACATTCCTTTGTTTATTTGATGAATCGTGTAAAGCTGAAGCAGTACCTATGGGGCAAAATCATTGCTTACACTGGTAGTCAGACACCAAACATTGTGCTTGTTCTAGTTAGAAAATGTCAGTTGTTGGCACAACTATAGAACTGCTATTTTCCATTAAGTGGCTTGGTTTAAAAGAGCAAATGCTGCCCATTACATTGTTCATGGTTTCTCTGAGGGTATGATTGTGATGCTAAAACACGACTTACGGACTATTACTGATTCTTGTATAACAAACCGAGGACAGAATTAACTCTGTCAAGAGATTTATAGACTTTGGTCTGGGCTGCGTTTCCCGAAACCTTCTTAACGCTACGTCGTTCGTAAGTTATACCTTAAGTTGTACCTTTACGTTAATACGTGTTTCCCGAAACGTTCTTAGTTAAGTATACCTTCTGTAAGTCATTTGTTCGTAAGGTTAGTATGGACCACTCTTAGCTATACCTTATCGCTGTTCACAGTTCACTCCGCTAGTGGCCACCACTGTGCAAAAACCTTCTTCACATTTCAGTCGATACGATTGTAATTCTGTGGCAAGAAAAAGTGCAGAACCAAATAAATATTACAATTCTAAAGTTGTAATACACCCAGTGTTCAATTAGTGTTCAATTAATTGAAGTGTTTTTATGCAAAGAATAAAACTGTCATTATACTGATGGTTGTTAGTTTTTCCATTATAATATACAAAGGCACATCGGCTGGCAAACAAGTAGGCAGCACATAATTAAGAGTATATTTAAAGGGAATGAATGTTATGGGGAGTTTGGTCAAACTATGGCAGCAAGACAGCGAATAGTTGTCCTAAATCAAAGACGGCTGCGTCCGCGGAGCCAGTTAGTGTATGTGCACTATTTCATAATAGTCTCAGAATAGCTACCATGTCAAAAGATACAATTCTACAAAAATGTCGCCTGCCACGGGAGCAAATTCAGCAGCTTTTACATCTTGTTGGTCAAACTTTGTAGAGACAAACTTGACGGAGCTACCCCCTAAGCCCCGAAATTCAGCTGCTGGCGGCTCTCCGTTTTTATGCTGTGGGGAGTTTTCTGGAGGTGGTTGGGGATGCCTAGAACAGGTATACCTTTAGTTAAGATATACCTTTAGAGTCTTCGCAGCGAGCTAAGAGACAACGTTATCGGGAAACGCAGCCCAGGATTATTCCAGTGAGAAACTGGATTAGCCGGAAATTGTTTTTGCAAGATTTCTGGATGGTCATCAGTCAGATATGTTGGTTATTTTGAGAGGAGAAACAGGTGTGTAAAATAATATTTACTAATTTTCCAATATTCCCTTGGGTGGTATGGATAATCAGCCTAAGGAATGTAAAATTTATCTGCAATTTATATCTAATCCAGATCTTTCTGGAGAGCTACAGTTGCTCATTCTCATGTGGTTTAATCATTATGATTCAATGACTTCAATTGTTTTGTACAAATTACATTTCTGTTTTTCAGAGAGCTTGGAAACTTGTACAACTTAAATTTTGATTGTGGGGTTTTAAGACTGGCAATTACAATATATGTGCAGTTAAAAGTTACAAAACGGCAACATTATTAATCGTTTAAAATTAAATTCTGCATACAACGTGTGAAATGATTGTGGCTGATTTAAAAGGCACATTTTGTTTTTGTTGTTCCTGTTTTTTTTGTGTTTTTTTTTTTTAGGTCCGCTTCGGTCTGGTTGTAAAATGGTGCATTCAATTATAATGATTTGCGCAACAGACTTTAACGACTCTTGTTGTAATTTAGAAATAAAAGAGGCATAGGCTCTAAATTAGGTCTTAATGTGTTTGTGTGGGAGTGCATACTTGCTCACAGAAGAAAAGCAGTACATATGAGTCTAAAATACGGCTGTTTTACATGCCTGTTGTATGTGCACTGGGGTTTAATGAAGACATGATTCAAGCATTAAGTATTTCCATGCTAATTTTAGATGCATGTTCTGCTTTGTAGAAAACTACACCACCTGTTTCCTTTCTTTCCTCATGCATTTGCTCTTTTTTTAGCTGTTTTTTTTCACATAATGATTATAGCTGAAATCCTTTAGGTTTGTCAACAGCAAACGTGTATACTTGAACTGGCCAATTCTTCACCTCAGAATCAGAATCAGATATACAGAGCAGAAATATATTTTGCAGTAATACCAGCGAGAAGGCAGCTAGTTATAAACTGCCCATAAAGCGTTGCTCATATTTTCAAAAACACTTTAATCGTCAAATAGAGAGTTGGATGAACTGCAGAGTAGAACAGCCGAGCACCTCTCAAAGCGTCAATCAGTCCTCCAAATGCATAACATAAAAGACAATTTACAACCTTTTATCTTAGGCTTTCACAGCCTCTGAGAATGTTTGGTTATAGTACATCAAATGTATAATTTGATTTGTCTCAGGCGACGCAAAACCGGGGCCCCAGACCGTAAATTATTTCTCCAGACCTATGCTTCAACCAAAGGATCTTGGTAGGCTGCTGAACCCAATCAGGCATGTGGGATTGGATATTTTTTCTCTTTTTTCATGACTCAGATGTTGTTAATGTAAATGTATTTAAACACTTCACAAGCAAGTCAGTTTGATACTACCATATCATCATATGCAACTCTGTACTGTACATAATTCAAATTATGAAAGAGCATATGTGGAGTAAAGCATGCCGCTGCACATTGCGTTCATGTTTAGTGTATTTGATGGTAATTTGATTACATGTTCCATTCATTGCTGTACAAACTACTCATGTTAGTC